AAGACTTCTGAGGAGATTGATGGCATGAAAGACGTTCCCTATGCCTCTGCCGTAGGGAGCATCATGTATGCCATGCTTTGCACTCGTCCGGACATTGCTCAGGCAATGAGTGTAGTAAGCAGATTTCAGGCCAACCCAGGGCAGGAGCACTGGACTGTTGTGAAAAACATACTTAAGTACCTTCGAAGGACGAAAGAGTTTTGTCTAGTAATCGATGGTAGCTCACTACAGATCCAAAGGTATACAGATATCGATTTGCAGTCGGATCCTGATGATAGAAAGTCTACATCTGGATATGTTTTCACGATAGGATCGTGTGCTGTTTGTTGGAAAAGCAACAAACAGGGGTCCACTGCAGACTCCACGACCGAGGGCAAGTACATTGCCGCAAGTGAGGCTGCTAAAGAAGCCGTGTGGATGAAGAAGTTCATTCACGAGTTGGGAGTAGTTTTTTCCAGCACATCACCCATCCCATTGTTGTGTCACAACAATGGAGATTTGCTCAGGCTAAGGAGCCACGAGCCCACTCGAAGTCGAAGCACACCGAGAGGAAGTACCACGTACTGCGGGAGATTGTTGGTAGAGGGGACTTCTTGATTCAGAAGGTAGCGTCAGCGGAAAATGTAGCAAACCCATTGACAAAGCCACTATCACAGAAAGTGTTTAAGAAACACGTGGAAAGCATGGGACTCCGGCTAGTAGCTGATTGGACCTAAGTGCAAGTGGGAGCTGTTAGAYAGTTTTGTATGCCCTTAGCTTCAATCAGAATGATGTACCTTATGAGTTTATTGTAAATGAATAAAAGTGCATATTTGATTAATGTTCCCTTAGTATGTTTCTGTATAATACCCTTAAACTGGACACTTAATGAGACTCGTGTTAGTTTAGAATGTTTACAGCCAGTGGGTCGGTCTGGGGACATCTATCCTGACAAGGCTGACACTGTGGTGCCACCAAGTCGGTTGGGGTGGMCTGTCTCAGCTRYCAGGGTGAGACCCTAGGCACATATAGTGTAGGATTAATTGAATCTTTGAACTTGACCAGATTTTCAGTATTGCCCT